CAAAAGACTCTTCATGTTTACAAAGAGAATTATTATCTTTTAGATAAAAGGCCTGGAAAGTGGAGCCATGAACAAATATTTGGAAGATTACCAACAGCCACAAAGAAATGATTAATTCTGTATTGATTTTCAAATCTGGTGTCCATAGAACCAGATTCCTGATCCTAACCACAAAGACCTACTGCGATTTTTAATACCTCTTTCTATAAAGGTGTCAAACAAAATAGCTTTAAATGTAGGGTTCTTTATTTGTGGGGAATAGCTTATTGGGAACTGCTGCCAAGTGAAGTTAATAATTGCTCAGCCATTAATGAAGCATTTATTTATCAGGCTGCACTCTTGTACAGTGTGAACATGAGAATGAAGTCATTAGAAAAGAATGATCAGAGTAGATAAAAGAAGAGACTAAATTAAACAAAACTAAAAATGGTTGCACGTACAGCCAAAAAACAAAGGTCTTACTTCTCTGGTTAATAAATAATCATTGTTACATTTTGACCATTATTGTGTTCCTACCATTATATATCAGTCACTTTCCGAGTTGTTTTATTATTGAGAGGTGCTACAGCACAATTAAGTGTAGGCTTTAAAGTGTGAAAGGAATTATCAAGCCCTGGTTCAACCTTTTACTAGTCATGTGATCTTGAGCAGCTGATCTGTATTTACTGAGCCTCACATTTCTCATTTATGGAATCTTATTATTACTCATGACTGAATGAAACGTAAAAGCATTTCATGTCTTACCATGAGAAATAATCACAACAAACTTAAAAGGAAATGTTTATAATACTTTGCCTAAATACCAATGAGTTGATGTTTATTTAAAATATTAGGTTAGATTCTTATTTATCTCTGCATATCCAGGAACTAGCATAAAAGCTAACACAAAATATATTACTGTTGATTGATGTAAATTATGACATTCATAAACATTCTGATAATATCCATTGCTTGACCCTATTGCCTTTACTTCTGAAATGATTCTCTCTCTTTTTTTTTTTCCATCACTACTAGCACTTGAGTCCAAACTCCTCACCTGGATTACTGCTGTATTGTCCTAAGGGAAAAAAAAAACTTCTTCCTTCTAGTCTTCTTTTCCTTTTCAAGGTCAGTCTTCCGCTACTAGGCTGGAGTATAAAGTCCCAAATCTGATCTACAAAATCTCCCTGGTCTGCCTGCTGCACTAATCCCGTCTTATTTCAAACTACCTTCCTTTGATCTCATTCTCCTTTTTCCAGTCACACAGGTTTCTTTCACTCCTCTATACTGGAACCTCTCTTCCTTTGTTCTGGTTCGACCTGAAGAGTTCTGCTGGCCAAACTTCAGCCCAAGCTATATGTCTCCTATTTGACCTTCATACCTCAGTTTTGTTACTTCCTCAGGGAAGACTTCTTTTTCTTTCTTTTTTTTAAAAAAATTTATTCATTGTCATTATTTTATTGAAGTTGATTAGAGAGAGATAGAGAGGAGGAAAGTAAGAAAGCAGGCTGCTAGGTCTGGGACTTGAATTGCGGTCAGCCATGTGGGAGTCCAGTTGCCTTAACCACTATGCACCTGCTGGACCCTAAATTATCAGAATTTTTTTTAAAAAAACATTGATTGATTGATTGACCAATTGAGTGATTTGTTGTGATTTTTCTAGGTGCCAGGTCTGAGACTTGAACCATTGTTAGCCTCTCTCAGGGCCTGTGGGAATCCAGTGCCTTAATCACCACACCACCCTTACTTTTCTAGAACTCTTTAGAGAATCATGTACCTTCCCTTCAAAGAACTGATCCATTTAATTTCTTTATGCTATTTAGTATTAGTGTATCTTTCCAACTAAAGTAGAGGCTCCACAAAGGAAAGAAAAGAGTTTTTCCTCTCTAGATGCCTTGAATGTATTCGAAATTTTATTAAATGGGCGGGGGTTTTTTTGGTTTTTTTTTTTTGAGAAATTTTTGCTATAGGATGCATGTGTTTGCCAGAGAAACAGAGAGAGAGAGAAAGTAAGAAATCACTCCCTCCTGCCACGGAACCACTATGCACCTGCTGGACCCTAAATTATCAGAATTTTTTTTAAAAAAACATTGATTGATTGATTGACCAATTGAGTGATTTGTTGTGATTTTTCTAGGTGCCAGGTCTGAGACTTGAACCATTGTTAGCCTCTCTCAGGGCCTGTGGGAATCCAGTGCCTTAATCACCACACCACCCTTACTTTTCTAGAACTCTTTAGAGAATCATGTACCTTCCCTTCAAAGAACTGATCCATTTAATTTCTTTATGCTATTTAGTATTAGTGTATCTTTCCAACTAAAGTAGAGGCTCCACAAAGGAAAGAAAAGAGTTTTTCCTCTCTAGATGCCTTGAATGTATTCGAAATTTTATTAAATGGGCGGGGGTTTTTTTGGTTTTTTTTTTTTGAGAAATTTTTGCTATAGGATGCATGTGTTTGCCAGAGAAACAGAGAGAGAGAGAAAGTAAGAAATCACTCCCTCCTGCCACGGAAGATGGTCATGCCATAATCCCTTCTCCATTCAACATTTTGGGCATGCATGCACATACACCTGACATGAGTTTCAACTCTCCAGGTCGTAGATGTGAATTGAGGTCAGCCATTTAAGAGTCCTGCTCCTTAGCCACTATGCCACCTGCTGGTCCCAAATGGGTAATTCTTATAAACATTTATAGTCTTTTCATTTTTTTCAATTAAAAACTGTCTATTTGACAATTTAAAGGATACCATTTTCTTTCCAGCAATTTTTAAAAAGGATATGAAATAATTAAAGTTACTATTTTTCTACTCTTTGCCCACTCCCTGAGAGGAGAAACTTGTACTTGAAGCCTACAGCCAAATGAAATATTTTCAAAGTGATCTTATTTTACTTCTGGGCAAACAGAGAAAGTCAGACTTTTCTATATGAGCATAGTTTTGTTTAAACATGAGTATGTTTAACTAAATCAAAACTAAACTGTTGAGTCTTGGAAGTTGAAAACACTTTCTCTACCTCATCTTCTTCAAATAGCCCCACTGTAATAAAACAGCTATTGAAATCTGAACACTGGGTCTAATTGGTAAGTTGGAAACCACCACAGATATGATGTATAAGATATAAAACTCACTTAAAACTCACGAAGTCACCATCCTTGGCACAGAAATTATATTTTGAGCCAATGTGAATAAGATGTTTTCATTTTCTATTCTATCTTTTCTAGTACATTTTAAAATGTATTGTTCCTATTATTTTATTTTAAAGCTACTATTTATATGCTGTTTTATAGTTTATAAAACACATATTACATGTATTGCCTCATTTAATCTTCACAACCACTTGAAGTGAATATAAATGAAAAAATTGAGGCTCAATAAGATTAAGTTTCCTACTCAGGGTGTCTAAGCTCCTACATGCTGTGAGTGGGTATTTAGAGTCAGTTCATAGATTTTACACCCAGAGTTCTACCTATTGAGTCATCGGGAAAATCATGACACATTATACGTCATGATTTTCCCGATGACCCAATATTATGCTTGGTTCTCCTTTTCAGGCATTTTTCCTGCATGTTTCATTTTTATTTTATTTATTAATTTTTTCAGATTCTTTATTTATTTTGCCACCAGGCCCAGCACTCAAACCATGATTGACTACGTGGGAGTCCAGTGACAAAACCATTACGCCATCTGCTGGTCCCCAACATTTATATTTTTAAGAGCTGGTCTAAAATCGGGACTAGCAGTTGGCATAATGGGTATATCGCTGGACTCCCACATAGTTGACTGTGGTTTGAGTCCCAGACCTGGTGGCTTAAACTCATGCTGGGCACGTGTGCGTGCATATCCAAGATCCCAAGAGGAGAATGGAGAAAGGATTGCGGCATGGCCATCTCCCCTGGAGGGTGATTTCTTGATTTCCGTCACTGTATTTCTGGCAAGTGCTAGTGCCCTATAGCAAAAACCTCTCCAAAAAAAAAAAAGAAAGAAAAGAACTGGTCTAAAATTCATTTCCATGGTATCCTGAAATGATTTTAAGAGACACTACAACACTGTAATAGTAATATAATAATAACTATAGAGAACATACTGGTATATCTAGTCAAAATAATTTCTTTTTTGGAAAAGGGCAATTGGAGATTCAACATTTATTCTTTCTCCAAGTTTGAAAATGTATTTTCTCAGACTTAGAACCTCATTTCCTTAAAGTCTAAGAATATGCTAATTCCATAGCAGGCAACTTTTTCTTCCTAAACCAATGGCTATGAGAAAGTTTTGCAGGAGAAACTGAAGTACAGCACTATGCCATATGCATCCATGAAATACAATCTCCCACACACCTAGAGCGCTTTTACTGTATTATGGTTTAATCAGAATATTTTTAAAAATAAATAAGTTTTACCAAATGAATATATCACACCATCTGCAATGGATGTGACAAGATGCTGTGCTACAATCTACTTTAAAAAGAAAGAAAATAACTGACAGGAATCAGAACTAGGTTTCACTGCCCCTTCATTAGACAGCAAGATTGAGTGGCAAGTTATTGCTAACTTTTCTATGCACACGTTTAGAATTATATACCAGTTGTGACATACTGATCAACTGCAGAATATTCAGTCAGCAAGAAGCTAAATCTTATGGTTAAATATTTATCATCTTAAGAATGTAAAGAAAAATGCACCAGCAGTTGCAGATATCCTGTAATAACAGTGGAGATGCAGCTGTAGATACAGGAAAAACATCCTTTGCTGGTTCATAATGAAGTTTAAGCAAGGTCTCACGGAATAAAACATCTTCAATGGATTCTCTCCTAGGTATCTCACTCAGCATCAACCCAAGGTGCTGTTTCTCTACTACGCAGACGCGCTAGGACTTCTCCCTCCTGTAAAGTGAAGGTCAACTTTGGGAAACGCGCATCCCAGAGAGCTGGACCAGAGCAAAGAGATGACACTTAGACCCTAGAAACTGATGGAGGCTTTGATCCATTTTCATACTGGCTCTATGGCCGGGTATAAGAACAGCTTACCTGGGAGGAGGTCACAGCCACGGAGGCTGCGTGTGGTAACGCCCTGCTCTCCAGACTCTGTAGAGCGCTTCCGCATACGGCAGTCACCGCCTGGCCCAGACCCACCCTAGCCCGAATTTTCTCTCCATTTAGCGTACAGCCTGGTCCTTCCACCATCTCTCCAGCTGGCACTGGGTTCACTAGCTGAAACCCTCAGGAAAAGATTGAAGTTGGGCCTAAACTGCACAGGAGTACTGACTCCGTGGGGAGAAAGTTCAAATCTCCCGCGTGTCCAGCCCCGCCTCCGCTCCGTCAGGTCGTCCAATCAGCGCCCTAGCTACTAGGCGCGGGACACGCCCCTGAGGCGCGTGCGCAGTGGCTCACCCCGCCAGCTATGGACCGTGGGATTATTCCCCACCCAACGCAAATCCCCGGTGAGTGGAGCCCTCCCGACTAGGCTGCACTTTAACAATAGAGAACTGTGGAACTTGAGTGAGAAGTTCCGCATTTACTTTGAGTTACTGTTTAGGCCTTGTCTTTGGTTTACTCGTACACGCACGTTTTCTGACTGGACGGTCATTATCTTGAAGTACAAAACTCTGGAGAGACTGGCAGGCCTGTGTGTGTCTTAGCCCATGTGGGTAGAAGTGAGACTGAGAGTGTTCTTTAAACAAACCGCATTTCTTTTTTCTTTTTACACGTGTGAATAGAAGTCTGACTATTTTTCTTATTTTCCAAAATCTTTTCAAAAGGGGCTGGGGAAGTCATGCCCATAAACATTAACAGACCATTTATTTTCCATTAAGGGGATTCTTCTTACATCCTATCCCTGGCATAGTATCTTTGAGATGTATATTTCAACAAATTATTGTATATTCTTTTGCTTATCTCTTCCCTAGACACAGAACTTCCCTTTTCCTTGAGATGTAGATTAAGCCTTTCTTTAACTAATTCTTCCCTAAAAAAAACCCTACACAGATCTTCCCTTCCAATCACCAACATAAGAATTGTGGAACCCACCTATAACTTACAATCCCCCCTTCCACATGTTCCGCCTTTTTGGGCCAAACCAATGAAAAATCTCTTCACTAAATTTTGTCTTTCACCCTCAAAAATGAATAAAAGGAATCCCTGTATATGATCACCCTGAGAAAGGCATGTATGCCCCTTCTCTGGGCCTAGGTCACTCATATTTGGGTTGGAAATCCCCCCTTCCACATGTTCTGCCTTTTTGGGCCAAACCAATGAAAAATCTCTTTACTAAATTTTGTCTTTCAACCTCAAAAACAAATAAAAGGAACCCCTATACATGATCCCCCTGAGAAAGGCATGTGTGCCCCTTCTCTGGACTTAGGTCACTCATATTTGGCTTGGAAATAAACTGCATTAATTATTAATTTTTACAGTTGGTTATTTTTCTGTCTACACATGTTTAGCACGTTTTAGAAAAAGTGTTTTTTTTTTAATTTTTTAATTTTTTTTTTTGCTATAGAGCACATGCGCTTGCCAGAAAGACAGAGAGAGGGAAAGCAAGAAATCACCCCCTAGGGTGGATGGCCACGCAGCAATCCCTTCTGCTCCATTCTCCTCTTGGGATCTTCGTCACGCACACACACGTGCCCGGCGTGATTTTAAGCCACTGTGTCCAGAACTCAAACTCCAGATGACTACATGGGAGTCCAGCAACATAACCATTACGCTAACTGCTGGTCAGGAGAAAAAATGGCTTTGTAAGCCAAATATATATTGTTTTTAAATTAGTTTTTAAAGAATTATTTATTTAATTTTATTCCTCATTGATATTTCTTTCTTTTATCTTTTGGAGAGGTTTTTGCTATAGGGCGTGTGCGTTCGCCAGAAAGAGAGAGACAGAAAGTGATAAATCACTCCCCAGGGGGATGGCCACGCTGCAATCCCTTCTCCTCCATTCTCCTCTCGGGATCTTGGGCACACACGCACACGCGCCTAGTGTAAGTTTAAGCCACCAGGTCCAGGACTATGAAACATGGTCGACTACATGAGAGTCAAGCGACATAGCCATTACGCTAACTGCTGGTCCCAATATTTATTTATTTTTTAACCAGAGAGAGAGGAAAAGTGAGAAACCAAGCGACCAGGTCCAGCATTAGAACCATGGTCAGCCATGTGGGAGTTCAGCACCCCAACCACCACCTCATCTGTGGGTCCCTGTTTTTTTTTTTTTTTAATTAAAGTATTATTTTACTTATTATTATTATTATTAAAGTTTCACTAAAGAGAGACAGAGAAAGAGTGAAAGGGAAAGTGAGAAGGCAAGTCACCAGGTCTAAGACTCAAGCCATGGTCTGCCATGGGGAGAGTCCAATGCCTTAACCACTACACCACTTGCCTGCCCCAAATGTATGTGTTAATGTTTATGTTAACAAATTCTGTTTTAGATAACTAAGTGAGCTACCTAAATACATGTATCTATTTTGTTATGGAATGCTCTGAGATGAATATTATTTGAAATTTCTTTGTAAAATATAGGGCTCTGTATAAATTAAAGAGCAATGCACATCTTTTCATGTTTATACACAAACCTAAACAAAATATGAATATGCACACATATGAATATATGAAGCTAGTGATTCTATACAGTTTTGTAAATTACGAAGGACTCCAATTGCAGTTGGCCATGGGGAGAGTCCAATGCCTTAACCACTACACCACTTGCCTGCCCCAAATGTATGTGTTAATGTTTATGTTAACAAATTCTGTTTTAGATAACTAAGTGAGCTACCTAAATACATGTATCTATTTTGTTATGGAATGCTCTGAGATGAATATTATTTGAAATTTCTTTGTAAAATATAGGGCTCTGTATAAATTAAAGAGCAATGCACATCTTTTCATGTTTATACACAAACCTAAACAAAATATGAATATGCACACATATGAATATATGAAGCTAGTGATTCTATACAGTTTTGTAAATTACGAAGAATCCATTCTTTTTTGAATTGAAATATAGCATATTAAAACACAGTGTTAATTTATAAATGAGTTCATAAGCATGTCACTGAGTTGCAGTTAAGCCAGAAGAATGAATATATAGCCTGGGAATTTGAATATAGTAATGACTTGAATCTGAATGTTGGAGAAGAATCAAATCCTTCTCCTTGTGGAGAGAGATTACTGATCAAAATTGGCTGGATCAGGTCCAGGACTGTTTGTACTTTATTCTTACTTAATTTTTATTTACTCTTTCAATGTAATGTTATTAATCAGGAAAGAACCCTGTTCTCTCCAACTCTGATTCAGTCATAATCTCTGCCGGTTGATGAAGAATAGTCCTTTGTACCTTTTCACTTTCCCTTTTTTTATCATTTATTTTTACCTAACAAATTATCTCATTTGTTATTAAATTTCTGTGGGTGAGAATTTGGCAGTAACCTGGATGGGAGGGTTCAGGTGCAGTATTTCTCAAGAGGTTATGTGTAGCCATAACCGCAGTCATCTAAAGACTTGATAGTAACTAGAACCTTTACCTCTGTGATGATTCACTTGCATAGCTCTTGGCAGAAGGACTCATTTTATGGATATCTCCATAAGACTGTCTGGTTATTCTTGTAACATGGCAGCTGAGCCCTTTTAGAGTATATGATCCAAGAGAGAGTCAAGTCAAGGAGAAAGCAACAATGCCTTTTATTACTTGATTGCCTATTATTCCTAGTCTAGTATGCTCACTTATTCCATTAATTAGAAGTCAATTATTAAGTATAGTTCATGCACAAGGGAAGGGGAATGAACTTTTATTTCTTGAAGTGAGGGGTATCACAAACATTGTTGTCATAGTTTAAAATCAAAATCTTTATTGATCTGATTCATTTGAACTTCTAATTTCTCATTAGGTGTTGTATATCGGTGCATACTTGGATCAAATATGATCATTAAGTAGAATTAGGTTCCTTAGAGAGTTTACCAAGAGTTGACACTGAAGGCATTAAGAAATTTCACCAAGGTTTTATTTACATGTAATAAGCCTCTGAGTCTTATTGTATCTCTCTCTCTCTCTCTCTCTCTCTTTTAGTTTGCTTTTTAGGGCATGTGCATATAACAGAGAGAGACAGAGAGGGAGAAGAGAGAGAGAGAGAGAGGGAGAGAGAGAGGAAGTGAGAAAGCACCTCCCTGGGAGAATGACCACAATATAATCCCTTCTCTTTCATGCTCCTCTTGGGATTTTGGGTTTGCAGGCATATGTGCCTGGTATGTGTTTAAACTGCCATATCTGAGACTGAAACTATGCAGTTGGCCATAAGGGACCCAACCACCTTAACCATCATTCCACCTAACTGGCCCTTGGTATATCTCTTTGCTCTCACTCCTTACATCCTATCAAGAAACAAATCACATACATTGTGCATCTGCAGTGTGTACAGAAAGAATCTCTTCACAAGTGCAAGTAAACCTGCATTGATGCAGACTTGATATTTTTCACCTAGACTATGTCTGTAACCTCCTAACTGCCATCCTTTTTCTATTTTTCTTTCTCATGGCTACCAGATTAATCTTCATAATTTCTTTTTCAGCACAATTTACTAATTGATAAATTTATATGCCACTTTCTCTAAAGCTCACTTTCTTCATATTTGTAATACCTTTCTTATGTACCTCCCTATGATTGCTCTAATTCCCAAATAATATAACGTGTAAAAGCACTTTGAAACTATGACTCTACAGATTCAAGGAATTAAGATAAATTGTACTTACTAGCCCCAGAATATACTTCATATTTTTTGTACTTTGTCTCATGCTTATTATCACCTCTTTAAACTACCTCCTCCTACTGTTTACTGAAGTTTTCTCAATTTTTAAGGCCCAGGTGTATGCATATGCTCCTAAAAACAAAACAAAACAAAACAAAACAAAAAAACCCTTCCGGATACATTCAGGACCAATCTCTTAGCTTGTATTATTATTATTATTATTATTATTATTATTGTTTATGCCAAATGGCATATGCAAGCACATGAGAGAGAGAGAGACAGAGAGAGAGAGAACCTTTCCAATGGGGTCTGTTTTTGCTACAATCCTGTTTTTTTTTTTTTTTTTTTGGAGAGATTTTCGCTATAGGGCGAGTGCACTCGCCAGACAGACAGAGAGAGACATTAGAGACAGAAAGCGAGAAATCACCCCCCAGGGGGGATGGTCACGCCGCAATCCCTTCTCTTCCATTCTCCTCTCGGGACCTTGGACACACACGCACACGCACCCGACGTGTTTTAAGCCACCGGGTCCAGGACACGAACCGCGGTTGACTACGTGGGAGTCCAGTGACATAGCCATTATGCTAACTGCTGGTTCCCTACAATTCTTTTTCTTCTAGTTCTCCATTCCATCATGATCTTGAGCACATGCCAATGCTATAAGTGTGTTTTTCATGCTGCCAGGGCCAGTACTCAAACCCTGATCA